ACGTCTCCGAGTGTCGGAACAAACTTGTGTCTGAAGTCGAGTCTTTGCTGAACCATTGTCTCGGATTGGGGGCGACTAAATCTAGTCCAGTTTAACACTCAGAAGACACAAGTTAGATAGAAAGATAGATAGATAACTCTTTATTGCATTTGAACAAAGTTATTACAATAACGGAAAACTTATGACTACAAACGGCGGTCATATCGCTTTAAGCGATTTCTGCCTGACAAACCGAACATAAAAGGACATTATAATTTTATATTTTGACGGATAGGTGCAACGTGCAATATGAAATAAACATGAAAAAAATTTATTAAGAATAATATTTATAAAAATATATTAATAATATATACAATATTTAATGATTATAAATATATATATTTATATACATACTTATAATATATATACATAGATATATACATACATATATACATATATATGTACAATAATTTTAATTTAATATATTCAAACATATACTGCAGAGAAAATTTAACAAAAAAAAAATCAAGTATATATGAGAAGAGAAAATACATATAATTTATTATTATGACGGGAACTTCAAATAATACTCCTTAAGCAGTTTTTTAAAAGACTGTAAAGATTGCGCTTTCTGAATGTTAAGTGGTAATGAATTCCAAAGTCGCGTTGCTAGTGAAGTAAATGATTTATTATAAAATGAAGTTACGTTGTAAGGAGTATTTAAAGCCAAGCTGTACACTGAACGCAAATTGCGGTTATGAATTTCATGTCGATAGGGAAATTGTTCCTTAAGGTACCTTGGAGATTTCGGATCAAACAGTACACAAAAAAGTAAAGAGAGTATATGAAAATTCCGGCGAAGGCGAATAGGGAGCCATTTGAGTTGATTTCGAAATTGGGATAAATGATATACATAATATTTGCGTAAACCAAATATGAATCGAATGGATATATTCTGAAGACGCTCAAGCTTGTTTAATTGCTCCATGGTAATATCAGCGTAACATATGTCAGCATAGTCTAAAATAGGTAACAAAATGGAATGTGCTAACGCAATTTTGGTAGAAATGGGCAGGAAATTTCGGAGTCTCTTAAGACTTCCACAAGCTGCAAACATTTTCTTGCTTATCTGTTCAATTTGAGGTGCCCAAGACATTGTACTGTCAATTAGAACCCCTAGATTTTTTACAACCTTACTATAAGGAATAATAGAATTCTCAAAACAAACAAAGGGCAGCGTATGCCATGTAATTTTTTGTAGTAGTTTGCTGCTACCTATTACTATTACCTGTGTTTTACTAGGGTTAACCTTGATTCCATAAGATGTGCAAAATTCAGAAATAATTGAGAGATCACGATTTATGGATAGCACGGCGGATGGAAGATTTTCAATACTTGTTTGAGAATATATTTGGAGATCGTCTGCATAAAGATGGTAGAGCGAAGAAATTCCTGAAGTAATAGAGCGTATGAAAATTGAGAAAAAGAGAGGAGACAACACGCCACCCTGTGGTACGACTGCATCTAGAGAACACCACGAGGAATAAGTGTCTTCATTACGGATGCATTGACGGCGTCCAAACAAGTAAACGAAACCAGTCGGTTGCTGCTGGAGATACGTTAATAGAACGGAGCACAGCTAGAAGTGTGTCGAAATCGACTGTGTTGAAAGCATTGCTAAAATCAAGAAGAGTAACAATAGTAAGTTGCCGATTCTCCATTCCTGCTCGAATGTCGTCTGTGATTTTAACCAAAGCAGTGACGGTGCTATGGCCAGGGCGAAAACCTGATTGTAATGTATATTTAAGAGGCTATTTTGATTCAAAAGTAGACGAAGTTGCTGATGAACAAGACGCTCAAGAATTTTAGAAAGAAAAGGTAATATGGAAATAGGACGATAATCACAGAAGGACTTGGGATTGGATTTCTTGGGTAATGGAATAATTTGCGCATTTCAAATTTGCCTTCAAATTTGCATTGCCTCATTCTTTCCATAATGTAGGAAAAGTACCTGTATTTATAGAGTTGTTGAAAATTTTGGTTATGATAGGAGTCTAGGTATCTAATAGCGGGAGAATCATGTTTCGGCTGACATTATCACTACCAATTGCATTAGAAGTTACAGCTGTGATATTCTTTTTAACGTCACAGTCAGCAAACTGACGTAGAACAAATTCAGAGAAATCGGGAGTTGGCAAAGAATGAAGGTGATTTAAGGTTCTAGATTTACAACTGTTAACGTGACTAGAACTTGAGGAAAAGTGCTGATTAAGAATTTCAATGTTTAAATCAGGAGGAAGGGAGTCATTTTGCTTCTTACCAATTCCCAAGCTTTTGAGAAATTTCCAAACCTTATTAGGATCAGATTCATCAATTGTCTTATGAATGTGACGTCGTTGCGCATCTCTACACATCGTGTTGCAGCGATTCCTAAGTATTCTGTACTTCTCACGATTTATATCACAGGGGTCTTTTTTAAATTTGGATTTGGCTAGGTTCCTTCTTAACATTTGGTCTTTGATTTCATTTGTGAGCCAAGAAGCCAGCGGATTGAACAATTGGACAAGTTTGCGCGTTAACCGCTAAAAAGAACCCCTTTGTCGTATCTCCTCAGTTTCAAGGCACTCCCCATGTTGCCTCAGCCAGTATCGGACTCCTCGGTGTCAACATATCGAGTGACGTGCAGTTTCGTGTTTACTTGGAAGAGAAGGCCAAGCGGGACAGTATTTCATGCCGGCACACCAAGGCGCAGGTTCGGCCACACATGGAATACTGTTTCCATTTCTGTGCTGGAGCTCCCCAGTGCTGCCACCTCTTTCTACTTGACCGCATCATGCGCAGAGCGGCTCGAATCGTCGATGACCGAGTGCTTTCCAATCGGCTCGATTCACTGGCGCTGCGAAGAGATGTTGCATCTCTTTGCATTTTATTTCGCAGATATCACGGTGAGTGCTTTGAGGAATTGTTCGGATTAATTGCAGCCCCCAAATTTCGTGAACCATCCACACCATCTGGATGCTTGGCGGTCCACCACTGTACGTTTCACTAGGAGTTTTCTTCCGCGTACGACCTCTCTGTGGAATAGTTTACCACCGGCGATTTTCCCGGATCACTGCGACCTAGGGACCTTCAAGAAAAGAGCTTACTCCTTTCTGAAGGGCCGGCAACGCACCTGCAATTCCCCTGGAGTTACGGTTGATCATGGGCGGCGGTAGTCACTTGACATCAGGTGAGCTGTATGCTCGTTTGCCCCCTCTACTATATAAAAAAAAGTCGAGTTAAACGCAACTCGATTTAACTCGAATTTGTAAGTCGAGTTGATTACTAACAGAGCACTTTAAATAATATTCATAGATATAAGAAAAAATAATATTATCTTGCTACATATTAATTTAGTCATTTATCTATGTTTATTATTTGTTTTGATACAAACGAGTTGCTGATATCTGACCTGGTATTTTAGTAATAAATTATGATTATGTTATGTTAATAGAATGATGCGTTAAATAATGTAAATAGTATGATTGTGTTTAAAAGTGTTGGCTACAAAGAGTATAGCAAGTAGTTGCCTGACTTCCTGAGGATATTTCCATTTTCGACGTAAGTAAGTATCCACGTAATTTTCAATCGATATTTTACATTTCCATCGGGTAAGGTTTACAATTCGGTCCCCTGAATTAGGAGGTGGGGTTGGTGTGGGGGGAGGGGGAGGAGGAGGTAGAGTCACCCCCTACTTCCCCTTCCTGCCGGACGTGCTTAGTTTTTTTTATAAATTTTTAAAAATCTCATTTTGAGGTTATGTTTCGTAATTTTTATGACAATTTTAACCTGATTTATGGGGAGAGAGAGTTGGGGGACGGAAGCCCAACGCCACTTAACGTGGTGCAGCCGAGGGAAGCCCGATCGATGGAGCCCCGCTTAGCTCCTACTTCTGAGTGGTTTCACAAAAAAATAACCATGAAGAGGATGACGGGGTTGAGTGAGCGAGCGAAGCGAGCGAATAGACCCCGTCATCCCCTTCTAACCTAACCTTTTCGAGTCGGGGTGCCCCACGCCCAGGCTCGCTTCGCTCGCTATTGCACTCAATATAACACCAAAATATTAACTTTTATAACTACTTTAATTTATAAACATAATTTATGGCTGCCAACATTTGTAAAAAAGGATCTTTGCGATATTTACCTATATTGCGATATTACTTTGCAATTTACCAATAATCTGAAACTCGGAAGCTATGCTCGGAAGCATCTAATGTTCTGGAAGAATAAAACCAAAGAACATACTACTCTCTAACGAGAGCATATATTTAGTCCTAGATCTATGAACGAGAGAGCGAAGCGAACCGCATTTAAAGATTCCATTTACAGGCGGTTAGCTTCACTTCCAATATCATATTTTTAACATTCTAAATTGAAGTGTTACCATTAAATACATAAATATTTGTTTCATAATTTCCAAAGTGACCGAGATGTGGCCCGCCTTCTGTTTCTTCTAAAGAATCTTGGCACTGGTTACATGCTTTACCATCAAATAGCATATTGCTTAATGGGGAAAGCTTGCGCATAGCTGTAGGAATCCGACTATGAGCGGCGAACTTTCAACCTCATCAGTGCCCTTGTGGTAACTTTCATGATAGAAAATTGCTGGTAGGTTGTCCCATCTCGATTCTCTGAATGATGTTACCTGAAGATTTCTTGTCTCTACAAATGTTAACTCAGTTTTAGAGGCTTATGAAATATTTAGATGTCGACGGTGTGACTTTGGTCTCTGCCTGGATTCCGAAATTACCTTAATATTAAAAATTCAATTATACAACTATTAATACCTAAAATTAGCAATAAAATAAAGCCAACAGGGATTGGGACCTAACATTATATGTAACATAATTTATAAGAAGATTACATATTTATATATTGATAATAATTTAATTTGTGTTTATGGTATGAAATAGCCTGCTTTTTAACGATAAACATGACTTAAAATTTTTATAACATTGGACAACATTTCAGATGTGTACAAGAATGTCAGTAACTATAGAAAAGATTACGGAACCTTTACTGTTGGGAGAAGGTCCACATTGGGATGACCGCAAACAGGCTCTATACTTTGTCAGCATTAAACAAAAGACCATACATAAGTATGTGCCAGCCAGTGGAACTCACACCAAGACTCAATTAGGTACATATTTTGATGTTTTAATTTGTGCAAATAGCTATTTCGTAATTAACCATTTTCATCTACTGTGACCCAGATATCATAATTAATTTTTTATTAATTTAATTTTAAGATAGGTAAAAAACATAAAGTAAAAAAGTAAATTTACAGCCTATATACATCCCACTGCTGGGCACAGGCCTCCCCTCATTTCTGATAAGATTTTAGGACAAGATAGTGTCCACTGCACTGCCCCAATGCGTGTTGGTGAACTTCACATGTCTTCGAAATATATTTTTTTCTTATTTCTCAGACATGCAGGTTTCTTCACGTGTTTTCCTTCACCGCGGAGCATGTGGTAAATCAGCACTTAAAATTGCAATTAAGAATTTCCTTGCAGCCGGCGGGGATCGAACCCGATTTGCTTGCATACTGTGATATTTACAGCGAGCGCTAAACATCTGAGCTACCGCGGCTCAAAAACATATCATTTAAAGCTAATTATAAAGAATAGTTATTTACACACAATTAATTATTTCTATTGTGAAGTTTATTCTGAATCAGTTTTGCCTTGAAGATGGCAATTTTTAATGGTACCCTGCAGCCAAGAAATTTGTGTATATTCGTGAATCATAGAAGCTATAGCCTAACTATGCAACCCTTCTATGATGCAATGAGGGGAGGTTTACGTTCAGCAATGGACTTTCCAGAGGCTGTAATGAATGAATCAATGAAATGCCTTTAATTGAAGGGAGAGAAAGAAAGAGAGTGTAACAGTACCTATATATTTGTTTTACTGCCGGTCTTGGTGTAATTGAGTTAACTGCACCTTGCTGGGATGCGCTGGTCCTCACACTTTCTCACTCACATCCCTGCATTCGTCCCGTCACATTAGTATGTATAGGCGTATACTATATACAGTAGCTGAGCATCAACATGACGTCATAGACAACAGATACAGAGTTAACTTGAATGGGTTGTACACTGTCACCAATCAGTGAAAACAATAAAAAAAAAGACACATATATACGTGCCAATCAGTCAGCTGGGTAACGATCCTAACTATATAAAAATATTTTCAGATGGTCGTGTAGGTTTCATAATTCCAGTAGATGGTACAACTGACCAGTTTGTAGTGGGAGTGGAGCGCAAATTTTTAATTATTCAGTGGGATGGTGAGGAAGGGAGCAAGGTTCAAGTTCTTAAGGAATTAGCGGAAGTAGATCAAGAGATCCCAACAACAAGAATCAATGATGGGAAAGCGGATCCTAAAGGCAGACTATTTGCAGGTATTGTGTACTTTTACATGTTTAAAATTTTAAAACACAAATTTTGAAGGATACAATGACTGTTATTTTTAAAATTCTTTCATCTTGTTGCAATTTTTTTTAATATGTTTTTATAGAATGTTGCAATCATCATAAAACGTCTATCCAAATATTAACAAAAAATTCAAAATATGTTTTAACTTTTAAATCAGGTACCATGGGACATGAAGAGTCTCCAGGCAACTTCCAGAAAGAAAAAGGCTCTCTCTACCGAATAGATAGGAGAGGAGTGGTAAAGATGTGTGAAAGTGTAAGCATCTCAAACGGTTTGGCATGGGATCTTAAAGAAAAAGCATTCTATTATACAGATTCTTTGGAGTATAAAATAAGGCGATATGATTATGATGTGGACACTGGAGATATTTGTAAGTATTTGAATTTTCTTTAGGTAAATCATTTACATTTTCTTTGCTTATAATTAATTATATCCATATTTTCACCCTATAGTGGCAGTAGAAGAAAATCCACTACCCCATACGGTTCAGTTCAGTTTAAACTTCCATTTGGCACAATCCCAAAAGATATGTGTTTTTCATTCTTATACTTTGTTATGGTAACATTTTGTAATAATTTTTTACAAAAGCTAAACAAGAATACTGCAACTTATTTAACTATTTATTATTCTATTATTCATGACATTGATTGTTATGTAATCTGAATTACTAAGATGTGTGAGAATAGTTCTACTTACTCTTAGACTTCTATATCTGGTGACCAATGTTATTTGAACTGTTATTGTTACCGTTACAGCCTTCTAAAGTTCCTATAGCTCCCCTATAGATTGCCTAATAGGGGATATTTGTCAAAGTTACTATGCATGGTGAGTGGGTTAGCAACTACACTTATTTATTATTAGTTGGTATTAGGAAGATGCTGCTACCCTTTAACTAATTTATTTCCCTCTGTCACCCATGGGATGATATCGGGGATATTAGATATTCTTGCACTGTCACTACATGGTACTACATGGCTACATGGTTTTTTGAACATAATTAGTAATTTGTAACCTATGCATTTATATGCAAAATTACTTATTCTACCTGTCCTATATCTGGGTTTTTTTGAACTCTTTATATTACTATGAGTTTCTTGAGATTGAGAGTAAAACACATCTCCTATAATTCTCATATTACTAATTCTCTTATATCTTATATTATCCCATATTCCCTCTCAATACATTTATGAAAATGTAATGTACGGACATAAAAATAAAAGTAGTTTTACAAAAATAAGTGATATTCATTCTGTAAATACTAGGAACAGACAAGCTAGTAGTACCAGTTACTCGACTCCACCGAGTCAGTAATTCATTCTTGGGGCGATGTATACGCTTTTACAAAAAAATCCCAGAAAATATACAAAATTTGACCTGCACAAAGTTCAAAAAATCTTTATTAAACTAAGTTCGTATAAAAAGGGTTATTATAATATCAAGGAATTTGTGGTTGATAATATCTATATACTAATAGTGATCGCTACCATGCTATTTCTAATTTGTTATGTGTTGTTAATTGTAACATACATGATTGTAAGCTGTTATTTAAAAAAAGTCCCGCTTGCTTTCTCGCTGGTTCTTCCCAGAACAACAGAGGTTATTTTCCGAACCAGTGGTAAATTAAAAAAAATTCTTTCAATAAGTGTTTTTATAATCTACATATATTGAATAAAAAAGTTCCTGTTTTTGTTTCCATAGTAGTAGATAGTTACGAAATTGTGTTAATTTTATGTTGTTTAACACAACATCAATCTATTACAGACCATCAAAAGTCAGCTGTTGAACATGGACCACCCCTCTAGATAACCTCATAGTGAGGACATTTGCAATAGTCACGCTGGGCAACTGCAGTCGTTTATTTTTAATATTGAGTTGGTATTAGGAAGATGCTGCTGCAAGTCTCGTTAAACTCTGTCTCCTCTTACAACAACCACGGGATGATATAGTTTATTAGGTTGGGGCAGTCTGTCTGAGTAGGTCTTACCTATTTCTGACACCAAATAATATTGCTTGTATTGCTGTGTTTCAGTCTGAAGTATATAGAGGTATAGAAAGACAGTATAATTATGGACTAACACATTCTATTATAATTCTCAGAGGTTACAACCCACCTGATGGTAGTGGATGCTGTGGTCCATAGACATCTACATCTATCCTAGATTAAGAATCAAAATGCAGATACGTCATCATCCCTGAAGTCTAAAATGGAATAGCTTGGATCCAGTAAAAAGGGTCTCCGGTTCTCTCACTCACCATACGAAACACAGCAGTATTAAGCTACTATTTTACGCTGCATTGCTGCTGTTATTTAATTGGTCGAGTCGACCCATTTGTGCTACAACCATAATATAGCTGCAACATGGCTCTACCACGTAATAATACTAATAAAAACTGTTTTTCTTTTAGCTAACAAATCATATATATTTGACCTCAAGAAAAACAATATAACTGGTATTCCTGACGGTATGACCATCGACACGGATGGTAATCTATGGGTGGCGATTTTCGATGGAGGTTGCGTTCTGAAAATTGATCCCAAGTTGGGAACTATATCACAGAAAATTCAAATACCTGCTAAGCAAATCACCTCTGTCACATTTGGGGGATGCAATTTAGATGTCCTGTTTGTAACAACTGGTAGCATGCCTATAAAAGAAGAGCAGGAACCGCCTTGCGGGGCCACCTTTATGGTGACAGGGTTGGGTGTGAAGGGCCATCCAAATGTAAATTTTAAACTGCCTTAAAACTTAAAAGTGTTTTTTTTTTTGTAAAATTTTACATAAATTTTTAACAATATAACCTGACCTATGTTACATCGTTTATATTATACTAGTTGGCCCGACAGAAGTTTTTCTGACATTATCGGTAGATGGCGCAATGAGTTCCACACAGAATTTATTTTGGACTTTTCACAGTGTATGTAAATATAACATTTATTGGAAATCCATAGCGCTACCTAGCGAATCCATATTTTGTGATATTCGTTTTAGGCAATAAACCAGTATAATAATATTGTGAATTGTATATGCGTCATTTTTTAAAAAATATAGAAATAAAATAAAATATAGAATTAATTACAGTGCCACCTATTGAATCCTAGCATAGTTATGAACCATGGTCCCGACAAAACAAATATGAATATAACCTTATCCAGTTGAGTATGTATAATTGAGATATTCTATTCTTATAGTTGAGAAATTACATACATCACTAATAGATGCAATATTTGTTTTTTAATAATTTAAGAGTAAAATTATTTATTTTTATTGTAGTTACAACATACTCAAATATACTTATATTAAATTTGTTGCTATTCAACAATATAAGATGATATATTGTATATTGAATCAAATTTATTAGTTGTTAAGTATACAATATGTGTAATCTTTTAAAATAAAATTCGATCTTTTATATTAATAATGGCGAGTTTTTATTTGAACACAATATGAATTTTTCATACATGTTATAAAATGTCTTGTAATGTAGCTGAATATGTACATTTCGTTGACTGGTAGAGAATGCCCTTAGACATTAATTCCGCCTTTTGTATAATTTTTTTCTAAGGGAATGCATAAGAGTTTTATAAATAAATATATGTGTAATAATATGTGTTGCTGTTTGACTTTATCTTATTCAATAACATCGAAGCTGTGCTTAAGTTTCTGTATAATATGTTGGTGTAGTTTGGATTTTTTTCTTCTGAAACTAGTCTTATTTGACCGCTGACCTGGTAAAACCTGCAGAAAGTTGGCGGATGCATGAAGCACAGGGGAAGTTTGAAGATTTTGTTGTATTTTTAGGAGAGGCTTATGTTTAACAGTAAACTTGTGAAGGGTTATAATAATGATGATGATGATGAGTCCAGTGAATGAAAAAGTAAAAATTCAGATTTGTTAATTAATTTAGGTATAGTATTAAATTCTCTTTTGAAATCTGTAAACGGACCTAAGACAGAGCCTTGGGGTACTCAAGCCTCGACATAGTATTGAAGATCGTTTCTATCCATGTTTTTTTAATAGAAATAGCACCTCGTACGTCTACCAGAAGCAGATATGAGATACATAGAGTTTAGAATGATGTTCCTTAACTTTACGAAAAAGTCCTTTATCTCAAACAGTATCGAATGCCTCTTATGGGTTGAAATAGACCATTTGTTAGTTTGTTCTACTTTTGCTTAAACCACTTGTATAAAGTTATTATTAAAACGCATCGATATTTATCAAATTTTATTAACATTAACAATTAACAAATTAAACAATCACAAAACATTTAGTTAAGCTTCACATTGACACTAGGAAGGCCTTTTACTCCGAGTCCAGTGACCTGGAAGGTTGAACCGCATGGTGGCTTTTGCTCCACTCCTCGGTTCATAGAAGCTGAGGTGACGTACAAAATGTCCAGGTTTGATCCGCCAAAGATAACTGATGTAACTTGAAGCGCGGGAATTCGAATTTTCTCGAGAAGTTTGCCTTTCTTGGGGTCTATTTTTAAAACCTAGAAAAATATCGATTTCTTAAAAATTATAACCCCAATTCTTCGTTAAGTAGTCGTGTCAACTTTTTTTAAATTATAAGATACAAGCAACATGAATTCGGTCCCCGGTGATGACACAACTGTAATATTTAATTTCAATTTTAAGACCATTCTTTTACATTTCGATAAAATGTGACTTGAGAATGATTTGACTGTATAGTGGTGGTGTACGAATATCTACTACCCCATATCGGCCGTGGGTGTCGTAAGAGGCGCCAGATGGATAGATAATAATATAGAAGATGGGCAATAGCCTCTTTTTAATAACAACAAAAATTAATATCCCTCCTATGTGTCAATCTATGGATGTTACGGTAACGATCAGTATGGCGGATCTTAGGGTGATTCTTTTTAGTCTTGATTTAGATATCTTATATTGAAAAACAAAAATAAAATTATGATAAACATATTATAACTAAGTACTTGTAGAATACTATCGAGCATTATCGATAATATTATTCATTAAAGTTATCATTGAATATCAAATATTTTTTTTATAGGATGGGGTGACAAACGAGCACACAGTCCACCTGATGGTAAGTGGTTGCTGTGGCCCATAGACATCTACATCTATCCTCCATTACGAATCAAAATGCAGATGCGTTGTCACCCGTGAGGACTAAGATGGAATGCCTCGTTTCCAGTAAAAAGGGTCTCCGGTTCTCTACACTCACCATACGAAACACAGCAGCATTAAGCTACTATTTCACGCTGGTATTCTATGAGAGCGTGGTCCTTCCCCGGTCGAGCCGACCCATTCGTGCTACAACTATACATCTAATATAACTGCAGCATGGCTCTACCACGTATAAAAATACTGTCTCAAATCTATCTATCGATTGTGTCCCATTTGCCAGATTTGAGGCAATTTTGTCTATACAGTAAAAAGTTGAGCTGAAGAATGATATTTTGCATATAAGTTTCAATAACATAATGTAAAAACGTTTCATTTGTCATAATTTTGCTCATTACAGAATTTAAATAATTTACTTCATGCTTCAAATAATGTCCTGAAGCTACCCACTAATCACCATTTATGAAAAAGTCAGCTCTATTTCTAGTAATTATTCTATGAACAATGCGTATAAGTGACAGTGAACCTGTGTCGAAGAATCAATCGTGTTGTGTGAGTATTATTTCAAAATATTTCTACGTAAGTAGGTAGGTACCATTCGATATTTTACGGATAGGTAAGTGATTCTCAGAATATATTTCGAGATAGCTTTTCTCTGTATATTCTTTACTCACGTGATAATATGGCTGAATGATGATGATAGGTACACTATTTATCATTTTGACATACTTCCGTAACGAGCGCTCGATTGGGATTGGGTTTGCGCGAGTGTGTAGCCAGCCACTCGCACTCACATTGCCAGTCCTTTGACTCGCGCCCAAAAAACCGACAAAACAGGGAGAGATGGGCATGACAGGCGGCATGACGAGTATTGTGGCCACATTACGTCCCTGCCTCCTCTCCTCTCTACTTCCTATGCTACTCCACGAGTGTATGTGAGTGGAGTGGTGAGATATACATAGCCGTAACGAACCTTCCTGTAAACCACCACTGCCCTAAACTATCCTGCTGTAGGTTGCCCGCATAAACCAAGAGTATCACGAATGAAACTGTAGGCCTACAATAACTACTAATTAAAAAATAAATAAAAGTAGTATGCCAGGATTAATCTCTTCGCGAACGTTTTTCTCTGCCTATCCCTTAAAGGAAAACGTAAAGCTATAGTAGTAATGTTTAACCCATTATCTTTAAAAAAATATTTTATACAGTTTACAATAACATTGCAAAGTAATAATGCAGCTAGTTTTAGGTTAATGTAACCACAGTGAATGTTGGTACGTCACACGTTTCAGGCAAATAGGCACACTGGCCATAAACTCTACCTGAGTCCCACCACCTGCCAGACCGCCGTTCCTGCAGACGTGATGTAAGTGTATGGCATCACCACCAAATACATGATCAGCACGGCTACTAACCGCAGAGCGTGTCATGAGTCTACCGCTCACCTCAAGGAAATGGGGTCCCACGTTGTGCGGCTTACGGCCGCAGCCTTGCGAATCTCCTCGGATCCTCCCTCCAGCTATCACCCGCATGAGGTCAAACCATATTATGTTCCACCAACCAATACAACGGCAGATATAGCCAAAATGCAATTTTAAGATAATAGTAATTATTTGCCATCACAAAGGGTTTGTGTCACTGACGTTGAGTAAATGCATTTTGGATCATGTTTGTCTCACCACCCCACAAATTCCTTCAATCATTCAAAAGTGGGAGTTACAGAGAGATATTATTATGTTGTTATATAAAATATCATGGAGGTCAGACAGTCTGCAGCCTCGTTATGAAGGGCCCCAACTTGAGCAAAACTACTTAAGTGTGCGTCAAACCAAGACGCAGAGAGCGCCATTGAGAATAACGTCCCACCAAACAACCATCGCAGAGACGCAATGCTGCAGAAGGCAACAAGCATCAATACGACTATCATCGGGCTTACACAATCCCAAGGTCCCCCATACATCCCAGCAGACATCACCACCCGCATACCTCCATCGACCAGAACCACAAGAATGTGTCGAATCAGGCGCAGCACATCCTCAGATCCATCAAAAGACGCAATACCGCAAGTAGCAGTAAGCATCAATGCAACTATCGTACGGATGGCGTCCCCTCACAACACACCCACATGATCGCTATCGACTTTAGTAACAAAATTTCTATTGTTGTTAACTAAAAATAACAACAACGTATCATAGTAGCACGCTACTAAGACGCCAGTGGACAAAACTCCACGTATCATAGCGTTAATGCACTAAGACATGAAGTTGAGTATGCTTGTTACACTTAAAAGTGCTACTAAACACACTCATCCCAATTCGAAAGATAGACGACGTATCACACACAAAAGGTTTGGGTGTGCGATGTCCACGGGAAATTCGTATTGCTACAATAAATCCGCTTACCACCGGCACTAAGATAGGTCTCTCGGTCGCTTGTGATGCAATATACACGCCACTATAATAATTTTCTATGGAATTGTAACATTTTTACTAAACTACGTGCATTTTATAAGTGTTTCGACTAGAACTTATTAAGGCTATTTAGCTGTGATTAGTTATGACAGTTTTTCTTTTAACTTCATTATATATACTGCTATCGCGCATACTTTCACATTTCCAAAAACAGCGGTTTATTTGGTAACACATGACTCTACTCTAGTAAAAAATACCACTTAAAGCTAAATATTTCGCAAGCGGACGTGTTAATCGAAAAAATGTTGTTCCATACCCCCAATATTTTTGTAAGACCTATCAACGACACCCCACATGATGGAATAATCGGGTAAAAGAAAATCACCTGTATGAGACGTACCCAAAATAAAAACCTTTTTCAAAATTTTACGAGTATTTCACAATTTTGTAGTCGTGGTTAACATCAGTGCCAAATTACAGATTTGTAACACATAGGGTCTCTGAGTAAAACCGCGGACGAACGGACGGACGGACTTGGCGAAACTATGATGGTTATTTGATGTTTAACTATGGAATTCTAAAAATAAGAACCTTGCATGGGACATTTATAGGTATGATACTAATATTATTCAATAAATATGTAAATTTTATTACCTGGTGGCCGTCGAAGTTTGCAACCCAAAGATTACCATCCGAGTCGATGGTCATACCGTCGACAATACCTTCCAAGCCGTGGTCTTTATAGTTGAACACAAATCTCGGGTTTGCTGCAAAATATTGTCGAATTTTTAAGTGCTGAAATTTTAAAGGTATAAAGAGTCCGCGAAGTTCGTAAAAACGTGGATAAATTGTAACCAATTATAAAAACAAAAATTTCAAGTTTATTTTAATAAAACCAGGTAATTATTATCCACATTTTCTATTTAGGAACGTTAAGTAACGTTCCTAAATAGTATGATAGTAATATAATGAAGTACTTCAATAGCATTTTCTCCTGTATTGTGGGGGCAGTTTACATACATGAATTTTACAAACACCCAGACGAAGGACCAGGACAAATAAAAAAAAATCGAAGACATGTGAAGTCCGCCAACACGCGTTGGGGCAGCGTGGCGGACACTTCCTTGCCCTAAAACCATTTCAGAAGTGAGAGGAGGCATAACAGTGGTAGAGCCACACGGCAGCTTTGCTATTGCACGTATGGGCCGGCTCAAACCGGGGTGGTACCACGACCCCACAGAATACCGGCGTGAAGTGGAAGCTCTACTTCCGCTTTCGTCTGGTGAGTGCCACCTGCACTCCCGGCCGGAGGCCAAAATCCCCCCCCCCTCTATCAACATGGTAGCGGAATTAAATGTCAAACTACCCCGGGAGTGTACCAGTACCCCTGGAAAATCCCTCGCTGAGTATCCACGACCAAGCTACTCCACTCCTGAGCGTGGGTGCTATGGACTTTTTCTGCTCCGCTCAAGACTACAACTGTTCGGGGCAAACGGAGCAACAAGACCAAGGCGACCCCTACCACGCTATCCGTGAATTTCTGCAATATCAGGGGACTTCCCTCTAACCTAAACGCCGTCCACTACCATCTCGAGACGGCGAGGCCGGCTCTGCTCTTTCTGACCGAGACGCAGGTATTCTCTCCGGCTGATGTCTCGTATCTCTCTTGCCAAGGGTACAAACTGGAACACTCCTTTATGCCTCGGGCTGGAGTTTGCGTTTACATCTAGGTCCGAATATTCAAGACGCCTCGGCAGTCTTGAAGGTTTGCACCTGTCCATCCTTTGGCTACGCGTAGACAGCGACGAGCATCCGCGCGACTACGGGTGCCTCTATAGGTCCCATAGCGGTAATGCCGAAACAGACCGACTATTCGACCACGTCCAAATGGCTACAGATTCGTTGCTACATCAGATCCCCCCGCAGAGATCGTGATCCTCGGAGACTTTAACGCCCATCACGCCGAATGGCTTGGTTCACGCTTAATCGATCATGCGGGGAGATCTGTTCATGATTTTGCCTTGGCATATGGTCTGACACAACTGGTTACTTCGCCTACGCGAATTCCAGATGTGGAGGATCATGCACCTTCCCTGTTGGACCTTCTGCTGACCTCTCACCTGGACGGATATCAAATTTCCGTCGACGTCCCTTTAGGCTCCTCGGACCATTGTCTTGTCCGGAGTGTGGTGTCACTCACGCTTAAAACGCAGTTATATTCTGCAGGCTGCCGCCGTGTTTGGCACTACAGGTCAGCCGATTGGGATGAGAAGCGGTCTTTCTTTGCATCCTACCATTGGGGGCGGGTTTCCTTCTCGCCGGAAGATCCCAACGTTGTTGTGGATTCTGTCGCTGATGTGGTACTTCAGGGTATGGAACTCTTTATTCCTTCCAATGTGGTGCCCATTGGAGGCAAATCTCAGCCATGGTTTGGTCGCTCCTGTAAAATAGCATCATGCTATAAGCAGGAGTGCTACCAAGCCTGGGCTGATGCATCAACGTCCCGGGATATAAACACCAGTGCTCTAAAAAAGAAGTACAATTCCGCCTCTAGGTCCTTCAAAAGAGTCATTGCCAAGGCAAAGTCCTAGCACATAGGAAGAATTGGCGAGAAACTAGTTCGCCTTCCTTCTGGAACCCGTGCATTCTGGTATCTCATTCAGGGGAATTTCTGTCAGCCATCTCTTCCATCTCTGCACAGGAAGGACGACTCACTCGCACCGCAAAGGTGAAAGCCGATCTGCTAGGCTCTTTCTTTGCGCCCAACTCGACTCTCGATGACGGGGGGAGTACGCCGTGGACCATCCCGCGGTGTGAGTGCTCCATGCCAGAAGTGCAGTTCACACAATGCTCGGTTCGCAAAGCACTCTTCTCCCTGGACAAGTCGAGTGGGCCTGACGGAATCCCCCCAATTGTGCTGAGAACGTGTGCTCCAGAGTTGGCACCGGATTTAACGCGTCTTTTCCGGTACTCCTACTTCCTAGGCGTAGTCCCGAAATCACGGAAGACGGCTTTCGTCCACCCGATCCCTAAAAAAGGCGACCGCTCAGACCCGTCCAACTATCGGCCTATCGCCATCACCCCCTTGTTCTCCAAAACAATGGAGTCTATTGTAAACTGCCAGCTCATGAGGTACCTTGAGGATCTCCAGCTGATTAGTGATCGACAATACGGTTTTTGTCGTGGTCGATCAGCTGGTGACATTCTGGTCCATCTAACTCATAGATCAGCGGAGGCAGTAGAGTCCAAGGGGGAGGCATTGGCCGTTAGTTTGAACATTGCGAAAGCCGATCGATCGGGTTTGGCACAAATCGCATCTTTCGAAGCTCCCTTCCTATGGGCTTTCCGAGAAATTGTGCGATTGGATCACCAGCTTTCTTGCAGATCGGAGCATCAAGGTCGTTGTAGAGGGTGCAAGCTCCGATTACAAGCCTAATATTGCTGGTGTTCCACAAGGCTGCGTGCTATCGCCAACGCTGTTTCTTCTGCATATAAATGATATGTTGCAAACCCGTAACATTCATTGCTATGCCGATGACAGCACTGGTGATGCTCTGTACACCGGCCGTGCCAATATTTGTCGGTAAAACGTCTCCGAGTACCGGGACAAACTTGTGTCTGAAGTCGAGTCTTTGCTGAACAGAGTCTCGGATTGGAGGCGACTAAGTGTGGTCCAGTTTAACCCCCCAGAAGACACAAGTTTGCGCGTTAACCACTAAAAAGATCCCCTTTGTCGTATCTCCCCAGTTTCAAGGCACTCCCCTTGTTGCCTCAGCCAGTATCGGTATCCTCAGCGTCGACATATCGAGTGACGTACAGTTTCGTGGTCACTTGGAAGAGAAGGCCAAATTGGCTTCTAAAAAGCTTGGCGTGCTCAGCAGAGCGGGACAGTATTTCATGCCGGCACACTGCCTGCAACTTTACAAGGCGCAGGTTCGGCCGCACATGGAATACTGTTCCCATCTCTGGGCTGGGGCTCCCTAGTACCAGATCCTTCCACTTGACTGCATCCAGCGCAGAGCGGCTCGAATTATCGACGACCGAGTGCTTTCCAATCGGCTCGACTCACTGGCGCTGAGATGAGGATGAGGCGAAGAGATGTTGCATCTGTTTGCATTTTCTTTCACATATACCATGGGGAGTGCTCTGAGGAATTGTTCGGATTAATCCCAGCCGCCAAATTTCGTGAACGCACTACGCGGCAAACGTCTCGATACCATCCACACCATCTGGATGCTTGGCGGTCCACCACTGTACGTTTCACAAGGAGTTTTCTTCCGCGTACGACCTCTCTGTGGAATAGTTTACCACCGGCGATTTTTCCGGACCGATAAGACCTGGGGACCTTCAAGAAAAGAGCTTACTTCTTTATAAAGGGCCGGCAACGCACTTGCAATTCCCCTGGTGTTGCGGTTGATCATGGGCGGCGGTAGTCGCTTAACATCAGGTGAGCCGCATGCTCGGTTGCCCCCTCTTCTAAAAAAAAGGCTTGTGCCAATCTTGGCCGTGTAGTGGCGGTTAAGAATATCCACTACCTCGTATCCTCCCGTGGGTGTCGTAAGAAGCGACAGAGGGAGACGGACAGGAGATGGGCAGCAGCATCTTCCTAATAACAACAATAATATAATAAAAATACTGCGGTTGCCAACCCGCTCGCCAAGCGTGGCAAATATCCCCCCATGAATAACGACGCAAACAAACGGCCCCCAGTCCCCGGCGGCCCCGCTATTCCTGGCTACGGTGGCAACCATGGTAACGTTGGGGCAGGGGGTGCTAAAAATCTCGGGTGGAGGTTCGGTTGCCACCTACGACGACTCGACCTGGCAACATATAACGCACGCACCCTGAGAACTGACGAGAAGATACTGGAGCTGGAAAAAGAGGTAGACAAGTTGCGCTGGCATATTATTGGATTATCCGAAGTCCGAACAGAGGGGGAGGACACGGTAATCCTCGAGTCCGGCAACTTGTTCGATCACCGGGACCGAACATCTGTCCCAAGGAGGTGTCGGATTTATCGTCCACAAGTCTCTCGTCAACAACGTTGTAAAGATTGAGAGTGTGTCGACGAGGGTCGCGTACCTGATACTCAGAATCACCAAACGGTATTCGCTGAAGGTCATACTGGTTTACGCACCAACCTCGGCACATCCCGATGAGGAGGTGGAGGAAATGTATGAAGATATTTCCAGAGCCATGTATTCCTCGAAAACCCACTGCACGGTGTTGATTGGGAGACTTCAACGCAAAACTAGGCACAAGAGAAAACGGTGAGCTGAAGTTAGGGAAATTTGGAGTAGGGCAACAGAACCGTAGGGGCCAGCAGCTGGCCGACTTTATGAAGAAAGAGGGACTCTTTATGACAAACTCTTTCTTCCAGAAGCGGCCCCATAGGAAGAGGACCTGGTCGAGACCCGACGGTTCGACAAAAAAAATTAGATTGACTTCATTATGACGACCAGACGCCAATTGTTCAGTGATGTCTCAGTGACCGCGAGGGTGAATACTGGCAGCGATCACCGAATGGTTAGAGGTACCCTGAACTCAGACGTTAAGTTGGAGAGGTTTCGTCTAGTGATGTCAACCCCCCGTCGCCCTCGTGCGCTAATCCAGGTCCCGAAAACTTTCAACTCGAATTACAAAACCGTTTTTAGTGCCTAGAAGACTGCAATACAGTGGACGATGTGAATGACAAGCTCATGGAAACTGTCCATGCGGTCGGAGCTAAGTTCTGCAAGACCCGCCGCAGAAGAATACAAGAACTCTTCGATCACACTCTTAATCTCATCCTCATGGCTGTTAGACGGGAGATGAGGCTGCAATCGTCAACAGATTTGACAGCATACAGGCAACTGAACAGACAGATCTCCAAATGCATGCGGCGAGACTTGCACAACTTCAATACTGCTCGTATTGAAGCTACTGGATGAAGCGATCGAGCGGAACCAGGGCTCCAAAGTCTTTGCCAGAGATCTATCTGCCAGTAAGAGCCAACTGTCAAAGCTGAAGACTGAGTGTGACAGCATCGTTTCCGGGACACCTGAGATTCTGAGTGAGATTGAGAGGTTCTATGCAGCTGATGTGGGTAGCTGTACACAACATCGTTGGAGCCACACGCAAGTGTGAGTAACGATTCAAGAGCAAGTCTTATCCGACACTATTCCGATGATATCCCGGACGTCAGTCTGAGCGAGATTAGAATGGCTCTCCAGCACCTTAAAAACGGCAAGTCCCCGGGCGAGGATGAAATTACAGCGGAGCTTCTGAAAGCGGGTGGAAAACCGGTACTTGAAGTCCTTCAGAGGCTCTTTAATTCCGTCCTCCATGGTGGCACTACTCCGGAAGCGTGGAGCAGAAGCTTGAAGAAGACCGCAATCTTCTTCAAGAAAGGTGACAACGCCCTCTTGAAGAACTACAGACTGATATCCCTTCTGAGCCGCGTCTATGTGCTGTTTTCGAGAGTCATTACGAATCGTCTCGCATGCAGACTCAACTCAACGACTTCCAGCCTCCCGAACAAGCCGGTTTCCGAAAATGCTTTAGTACCATAGATCACATACATACCCTTCGGCAAATTGTACAGAAGTCCGAAGAGTACAATCTGCCACTTTGCCTGGCATATGTGGACTATGAGAAAGCCTTTGAATCCGTCAAAATTTGGGCGGTGCTACAGTCTCTTCAGCGGTGCCAAGTTGACTGTCGGTATATTGAAGTGCTAAAGTGTTTGTACAGTAGGGCTACGATGGCTATCCGAGTACAGAACCAGAGTACGAAACCTATCCAACTGCAGAGAGGTGTAAGACAGGGTGACGTTATTTTCCCGAAACTCTTCACCGCTGCATTGGAAGACGTTTTCAAGCTACTGGACTGGAAAGGATACAGTATTAACATCAATGGCGAGTACATCACTCACCTTCGATTTGCCGACGATATAGTCCTTATGGCAGTATCGCTGGAGGACTTAAACACGGATAGGTCTTAAGATGAACATGGACAAAACAAAGATCATGTTTAATGTCCATGTCACACCTATGGCGGTAGTTATTGGGAGCACTATGCTCGAAGTTGTTGACGAGTACGTTTACCTGGGACAAATAGTCCGAATAGGTAAGTCCAACTTCGACCGAGAGGTCAATCGCCGGATTCAACTCGGCTGGGCAGCGTTCGAGAAATTACGACGCATCTTCTCGTCAGGTATACCTCAATACCTGAAAGCTAAGTTGTACAACCAGTGCGAGTTGCCAGTGATGACCTACGGAACCGAGAGACGTGGTCCTTCTCTGCTGGCCGTAAGAGAACGCTCAAAGTCGCTCAGCGAGCTATGGAGAGGGCTATGCTCGGAGTTTCTCTGCGTGATAAACTCAGAAATGAGGATATCCGCAGTAGAACCAGAGTGACCGACATAGCCCAACGGATTAGTAAGCTGAAGTGGCAATGGGCCGGCCATATAGCTCGAAGAACCGACAACCGTTAGGGAAGAAGGGTTCTCGAGTGGCAGCCTCGTACCGGTAGGCGTAGTGTAGGGCGACCCCCCACTAGATGAAGTGACGTGAACCTGGTAAGACATGCAGGAAGTCGATGGATGCAGGTGGCTCAGGACCGTGCTTTGTAGCATACCTTGGGGGAGGCCTATGTTCAGCAGTGGACTTGTGAAGGGCTGTAATGATGATGATGATGATGATTGTGCCAAACTTGTGGGTCGTATATAAGCTGTAACTTTAACTCCAGATCCGGAACAATTATGTGCATGCCATAGGATTGGAACCCGCGGCCTTTAGCTGCAGCTATATTATGTTGTAGCACGGAAGGGACGGCTCGACCAGGGAAGACCACGCTCTCACAGAATACCAGCGTAAAATAGCAGCTTGATGCTGCTGTATTTTGTATGGTGAGTGTAGAGAACCGGAGACTAGTTTTACTGGAATCGAGGCATTCCATCTTAGTCTTCAGTGGCGACAAGGTCCCGCATTTTGATTCTTATTCGAAGTTAAATGTAGATGTTTATGGGAAGCAGCATCTACTTACCATCAGGTGGACTGATTGTTTGTCACCCTAATTCTATAAAAAAACTACTTGTTAAGCTACTGCGCGAAGGTGCCGTCTATTTTAATAGATTTCTAATGGCATAACCACCTAAACCCCGCCTTCCAAGGAATCAATGAGGAGGCCCGTGTTCAGCAGCAGACTTTGACTATACTAATGAATGAAAAAGCTGCTTACAGATATCCCCAGTTTCGATATCGTAATCATAGCGCCGGATCGCATATTCAAATGAGTCTGCGTAGTAAAACGCCTTTTCCTTGATATCCCAGCATAGTCCGTTGGAGATGTCCACTTTATCAGCCAGGCATTTCGTCTTCCCGTCCGGGTCGATGCGGTACAGGGAGCCTTTCTTGAGGTGAAACTTCCCTGGTTCATATTCGTGGCCCATCGTACCTGGAAAATGATAAACGGGACAAACTGTAGAACTTTTTTGTTTTTATTTATTAAATCGTTACCTCGACGCTAGGATTTTCACCTGTATCGTGGAGGCAGTTTTCAAACATGAGTTGCACAAGAACTAATCTTCTAGGCTTCTTAAAAGACTGATGGTAACTTCACTAATAGTGAAACCGAAACATTGGAGTTACTAGCGTCAACCCATTTCCCAGGGTCACATAAGACTTCTGTCTTGATTTCTTTCAGAGCCCTACGAAGGCCTTGTAATGAGGACTGGTGTAGGGCTGCAAAGATAATAAGGCCAAACCTGGTGCAGTGGGCTGTTGATTCCTTTAAACCATTTAAAACAAGCGGGGAGGATGGATTGATTCCCATCCAACTACAGAGGGGTATCGATTTCCTTCTTCCTAATCTGGTGAAAATCTTCAGAGCAAGTTTTGCATGGGGATATATTCCAGAAAGATCACAGAAATCTAAATAATAAGGCACTAGGAATGCCTTCTACTGTCTTTTAATATCAGGACGCGTGTCGCCGGTTCGCAGCTATCACACACAGATAAACAATCAATTAATGGTGGTTAATAAAGCGCATAGCGCCATATTATAGCGCGCTATCTTTCCATAACACAGCGCGTGCTATGTAAGTAGTCGCTACGGCTACGTAGTACTATTATTTATTCTGTGCCACGGCGCTATGGCGCTTTGGCGCTATTAAGCATTAATATCTAGCGGCAATTAGTTCTAGCAGCAGCGCTGTTGGGAGAGGACGTGTGACGATCTAGTATCACGCTATTCATCGCGCGCGACCTAATTTAGTGTTAGACGTTGTTTAGTTAGTGTATAATACTGTATATTCATAAGTGATCGAAGGACACAGTCGTCTGCTATAAAAGAAGCCGAACTAATGTTTTAATATAATGTTTAAATGTAAATAAAATATAAATACAAAAGTGTATATCATAGTGTATGTAAATAGTTGATTTTTTTAAAATATAATCAAAAAACTTTTAAATACACCTTTAATTGATTTATAATTTATAGTTATATATTAAATTATATTAATGTATAATTTATATTAAGGTTAAAATAACGTTTACATCAATTATAATAAAAATAATTAATTTTATTTCGTTTTAAAAAGCACATTCCTAAAAATATTTTTAGGATTATAGAAAGTCGTAAGCCTGAATTGTATGAAAAATCGTTCATTGGTTTTTCTTTACCGCTTTATTTTATTTTAGTCTAAAATGCGACTTATTACGAAATAATGTTCTTATATAGCACGCAGTCTATCCAATTAACGACATGTAATGTAACGTGCTACGAGATATAGCGTGCTGCAGAACTTAACGCGCTTGCCGGCCTCCTACACGCTTTCTTGTAAATAGCGCGCGATAACATAGCGTATTTAATAGCGCGCTAGAAATTTATAGTTTATAGTATGTAGCGTGCTATTGATTTATAGTCGTTTTGAACAACTGTACAATCAATACACAATTACGCCTACACATATCTTTAGCACACATGGAACAAAGATTAAACTATAAAATATTGCGTTAAGGGATATTTTATAAAAACGCAAAATCTTAGGAGGCGTAGCCACTCGGTCCAATAATTCAGGTGTGCAAAAAACAGAGAATGAAATTGCGTGCTCACTCTCACTTGGGCATAATGCAGTACAACGCACATTTCGATAACTTTCTATCGAAATCTTTCTCGCGTCGTTGATCATCCGGGAGTCTCACACCAAGATATAACTAATTAACTGAAAGTGTCTCAGTAATAGACACTTTTAGTCTTAGCTTTAGCTTTTAGACGTTTTATAATTAGAGAAAAGGGGATATAATAAAACGTTAAGGATAAGTATATCCATTTATCTTTAATATCCGGATCTTTTGGAAACCTGATATAATATCATTGTATTAAATAAACAGATGTATAAATAAAATAAATACAACATTAAATAAACAGCAAACAAATAAATATATGTATGGATGACATTTTTATCACTTTTTATTAGTTTTAGAGATCTGTAATTGACTTTCTGTTTGTTATTTTTCAGTTAGCCGTCTTCTTGTAGATCGAATTTAGTCTACTATCCTTACAATACAATTACTTATCCTTACAATATATTAAAACTGCATAAAAATTTATCAAGTAATTTAAAAGTACAAACAAACAGATTATCACTGATAAACGGTTAACGGTATAAAATATTTAGAAAGAAAAAAATAGAGAATGTGTAAATAAATATTTAACGGAAAGTCACATTTCTTCCCAATTCGGTAAAACTAGGTAAGCCAAACATAATAAATTATCGATACAAAACAGTAGTGTCACGTCACTGACTCGCGTTCGACTCCTGCGGCTGTGTTCTTGGAAATTTACGTACGCGATAATATTGTTTATTGCCCATACTATAAATCCATCGCTGCTTTTAGTTGTCGTACTCGTACACATGAACTAGCTTAAGAATCAATGGATATTGAAATGTGAAAACAATTACATTTTCGGAGACAATCGTAGTACTGGAGTTGAATAATTTTATTTAAGTATATTTCATTAAAAACAACATTATTTAAAACACTAAGTACTTATTTATAAAATGTTATCCCTTTATTTGAAAATTTGCAAGTTGTGGAAAAATTTCCGCAGTTGGATATGATTCTAAACACCATTTTTACATCTCTGCGTCCGAAACGACACTGGTGATCGAAACAAACGCTCCTCGCGCGCTTGTGGCCTACGAGTCACATGTGCGGCGACAAGGTCATGCGCTTTTACGACTTCTATTGCCTTATTATTTAGATGAGAGGTGTTTTGTCACCCATTCTTTGGACTCTTGCGGTTTAACAACTATTGTACAAGATGACAGACCTACGCATTGACACACTGGGTTATGCTGATGACCTTGTGATCATTGCGAGGGGCTTTTGCCAAAGACACTAACTCCATACATAACTGGTGTAGGTGTAACAGTTTATCAGTTAATGCTGATAAAGCTATTATAATACCCTTTACCAAAAATAAACGGCTGGACAAATTAGTCACACCAAAACTCAATTTTAAAGAAGTACGATCGTCCACTGAAGTTAAGTACTATACTGGGGCTTGCATCCCAGTATGGTCCTATGGCTGTACAGCAGCATAGTGAGGCCGATTCTCACCTACGCCTCCATTGTCTGGTGCAACAAGGCCAACCAACAGACGACTGCGGACAGACTAAATAGTGGATTTTTAAAACAAAGGTAAAGGAACATTATTTGGGTTCATCTGACACGTAAATATATAAATAATCTATAACGTTTAATCTATTAGATCCTATATATATATTTAATTAAGTTTGAGCTATGAGTGTGTATGTGTGTGTGGTGTATATGTGTGTGTGTGTGTGTGTGGGGGGGGGTGTATGTGTATGTGAAATTTATCAATTTTTATGTTTCATCTTAGCCCACTGCAGTACATACATCTCCCACTAACTTTCCGGTTGGCTAGTAGAAAATGCCATACGGCATTAAGTCCGCCGTTTGTACCGTTAGTACAATAAAGTGTAAATAAATAAATAAATAAATAAATAAATAGTCTACAAAGGACTGCCTGCTTAATGACAACTGGAGCTATGCGAACATTGCCTGGAGTGGCTCTTGATGTACTTCTATGCCTAACGCCCATTGATCTTTATGTAGACATGGAGGCGAAGGCTAGTTTGTATAGGATTAACGCCAAGGGCGTTCTAAGCTTGCTCTCCTACAGATTGAGATCCATGCTCGACTCAATGAAAGAAACACCGGTCTTATACATGATCTCAGATATCATGCGTCTACTATACACTTTTGATAAAAAGTATGTAGTGGAACTACCCTCCACAGAAAACTGGCTGAATGGTCAGGTTATCTGTGAGGTAGCTAGCCTCATATGGTATACCGATGGGTTTAAAATGGGCCTCGACGTAGGCTTTGGAATTTACGGGGAACGCCCCACAAAAACACTACGTCAACTATATAATTTATTTAATCTCTGATAGTCAGGCAGCACTGCTAGCGCTGAAGTCCTCAGAACCTGAGAACTTTTTTCTAGGTGAACTGATTTTGATCATTCTTTTTTTATTTGAAAGCTGGTGCTTCTCGTGTGGTCCAATAAAAAATAGATAAAGATCTAACCAGTAGTTTTTTAGTTATCTAGACTTCGAATACATTGATGATGTTCTCAGTTTATTTATATTGAAGTCGGTTGTACAAAATTTTTAATTTTACCACTTGTTTTTTATGTATTTGAGTGAGTCCCTAGGAGGGTAGGTGGCGCTGTTGTCGAGATCCAGAAATCACCCGTGCGAAGCCGAGGCGGACCGCTTGTAATCCAGTTACGTATGTCCGTTGTCACGGTAATATTATATAGATAAAATTACCGTGCCGTAGTTGACCGATCGATTACTCATGCCTTACAACTTTAATCAAGGGCAATCACTATGTTACGTCACAGTAAATAATAGTAACACCTAGTTACGTCGAATATCACTGTCCAAATTATATGTACATAATCGGACTTATTAGAAAACATAATTTATAATTAGTCTTAGACTAGAATCTGTTTCACGGAGAAAGGAGATCGACTCGACCTTGGCAGGACCACGCTCTCACAATATCAGCGTAAAATAGCAGCTAATTATACTGCTGTGTTTCGTATGGTGAGTGTAGAGAGCCGGAAACACGTTTTTACTGGAAACGAGGCATTCCATCAGTCCTAACGGATGTCAACGCATCCACAGTTGATCCTTAAACGAGGATGACGACCCACGGGCTTTAGCATCCGTTTACCGTCAGGTAGACTATGCTTGTTTATCAATCTTATTCTATAAATAAATGATTTTATCTCACCTGCAAAAAGACGGCCTCTGGGATCCGTTTTGGCGTCATTCAACCTGTTGTCGGGACAGTGTTTGTCCACTTCAGCAACCGTGCGTACCACTTTTGCGGTACCGTCCTGACCGTCCCAAATGACCTCCGCGATGCGACGTTTAAGACCCACCACGAAATGGTGACGTTTGCCTTCCACGGGTATTATGAAAGTCACCTGGTCATCTAAAAGAAATAAGGATTCGGTACTGTATAACGTATATTTTAGTAATCTAATTGGCTTTGTTGATAAAAGATCTAGATTAAATCAACTTGGAAGGAATGCTTAAAGTTGCACTTTCTCTCTTCACTTCTCCAAATTACAATAGAAAGAGACAGGTTGCTCTTTTGTCGTCCTTACTCTATATACTGGTTGACCTTTATTACCGCCTGAAAAAAATAGGGTGTAACATCTGAACAGAGTAGAAGCCTATGACAGTGATATTTTACAAAAATTAAAAACAAAAATTTTGTATTAAGCGTTTGATAATTTTTTTAAATAATTACTCTGCCCTTTGCCCTTGAGCTTTTGCATTGTTTTATTGCCGTTCGTAAAGTAGGGTGGATATGATTTGAATTTCGATAGATTTTAATTTATTTATTTATTGAATTCAAAATTTATGTTCTTATTTTTTGTAAAATATCAATACCATAGGCTTCTACTCCGTTCGCATGTTACATCGAACTTTTTTCCAAACACATTTTTTCCAAACGATAAAAAAGGTCATCCAATATAAAAATATGCTATTTCAATATACTTAGTGAAAATGAATTAATATTAAAGCCTAGGTGCGTTAGCTCTATGGATGTACGCCATCACTGGCCTTGGAATTAGAGGATATTCTTGTATTAACCGTCATAAAACTTTGGCGCCTTTATTCTATAAAAACAAAATACACTCTTAATAAACTAAACTCTTAATATGGAACATTTATACAGCGTGACTGTGGCCGATTATTTCATAAAGCACTGAGTTTCAAAAGATTTCATGTTTTACATACAATATTATTGTTAATCATATTGTATTTTTATGAGTTGGCACAGTTCGTAAACTTCTTTGTAAATCATAATTCTTTTATTCTTTTTATCTTAATTATCGTTTTGTTTTGAACCGTACTAGGTATGAAACATACGTAAGTGCATACATTTTTTTAATAAGAATAAGGGTAACATATGAGCACATAGTCCACTTGATGGTAAGTGGATGCTGTGACCCATAGAAATCTGTGTAGATTTCTATGGTCACAGTATATAGTCAGGGTATAAATCATCCTCGATTACGAATCAAAATGCAGATTCCATCTTAGTTCTCCCAGACTTAGATGGAATGCCTCCGGTTCTCTACACTTACCATATGAAACACAGCAGCATTAAGCTACAATTTTACGCTCGTATTCTGTAAGAGCATGGTCTTTCCCCGGCCGACCGGGGAAAGACCACGCACAACAACTGCAGCATGGCTCTACCACGTATATATGTTATTATGTTATTTTTTTGTGTTATTATGTTTTTAAACGTTACCTTCACACTAGGACTACTATTACTACTCCTGTATCGTGGTGATAATTTACATACATAAATTTCACAAGGATAATCATCCAGACGAGAAACAATTTTTTGTAGGCCATACGAATATTTGTACCGTGCGGGATTCGTGGACCGTTAACCGGGAACGTGGACTGTTATTGTTTCACGTGACCCGAAATAGAAAGTAGACCCATGTCGATAGCAATTTTTTATAGAATAAGGGTTACAAACGGGCTCACAGACAACCTGATGGTAAGTGGATTTTGTGGTCCATAGACACCATTTACCCTCGATTAAGAGTCAAAACGCAGATGTGATGTAACCCCTGAGGACTAAGATGGAATGCCTCGTTTCCAGTAAAAAAGGGTCTCCGGATCTCTACACTCACCATACGAAACACAGCAGCATTAAGCTGCTATTTTACGCTGGTATTCTGTGAGAGCGTGGTCCTGCCCTGATCGAGCCGACCCATTCGTGCTACAACCATAATATAGCTGCAGCGTGGTTCTACCATGTAAAATACATTTGCAAAATGTCACTCTTGGATTACTTGCTCCAAACCACGGTCAAAATGAAGGTTACTCTGCGCATAGTGCTATAAGTCAGTCCATCTCAATGGTATCCCATTATCCAAATGGCAAAATCTTCACTTCCGTACATCGTTCAACCATTAGAATACTTTGAATTTAAAGACTAAAAAGAGTAATCTTAAAATAAAAAGATACTAAATCTACGGAAAGACAATGAATCTGGTACTTCAATTAACTGGACAACAGTGGTAGAGTTTATAGTAGACAAAGAAACGTCTATTTAAAACATTACACTGATGCTTCGTAGGTACAGGTATATTACAGTCAAGAGGACGCATGCTAAATTCTTAAGGAACCTTTAAAATACATTCAATAATTCTCGAATTAAGATACCTAATGTCCTCCATACCGAATTTCGGTCTAGCCATCGGTACACGGCAGGATTATAGTGCCCAAGTATATGCGCAAGCACAGATGCACTCTCTATTCCCTCACTCTCATTATCAGAGATCTGGCGCAGGACAAACGACTTTACGTACTCACCGAGGCACAGCGTTCCAAATTTCCTGACTCCGGTCAGCTACTGAGATTTTATTGATGGAAAAACTCATTAACTTAATTTTTGGCACGACACAAGATTCCAACCCAGGACCTCATGATCAGCAGTCGCACTGAGCCTAGGTATGACGACTTGAGTAATCACGTATTAACATTTTAGTGCCAAAGTTACAATTTATATTATCCTATATATAGGTACTAGTAAGTCAGTTTCTTTTTCTTAAAATGCCATATTCTTTCGAAGGTCGGCGATCATTAAGGTAACTTGGATCTTTGAAGCCGCGATTCTGAATAAGGAACGGGTGCTCTTTCCAAACCATTGGCGTAGGTTTTTCAGCCAAGATGTTCTTCTTCGACCCACACTTCATTTTCCTTGGATCTTGCCCTTGACTGACTTAGCACTGTTACATTCTTTATTTTGTCTCTCCAAGATATTAACATTCTCCTGTGTACCCACATTTCGAAGGCTTCAATCTTCTTACAACTCGATTCTATGGAGAAAACATAACAGCGCGCTAATGGTACTCGTATCTGGATGTTCAGCTTTTTATTGCACAGAAGTGACTTAAGCTTAAAGAAAGCGTTACGGGCTTGTTCTATGCGGCACCTTTTTTCAAGACTGTGGTCTCCGGTATCATCAAATATTTGTATTTGCTAACTTTTTGTAGAGGCTGTCCGTTACATAGTAGAGAAGGGTTAGCAGGTGGTGTTTTATAAACTGTCATATATTTGGTTTTCCTGGTGTTGATACTGAGGCCATACGCTGAACTAACAGATTGAATTTATCTATAAGGATCTGAAGTTCTTCTATTGTAAATGCAATAAGTACAGTGTCATCGGCGTAGTAAGTCAGTAAAAGTGCGTTAAGAGAACAGTAGATAAAAGAGAGTCTGGCCAAAACGAAGCGCGACGATAAGGCGTATCTTTTTTCAGAGCTTTTTTTTGTAATTTCAGGATTTATCCTGCAACTTAAAAATAATTGCGGTATTGCGGCCCTTTGCGGCATAAGCGACGAACTAATTATTAACCGTGGTATTATTAAAAGAGGTGTAATAAATATTACACCATTGCGCCAGGGAGTCGCCGTGGCGCAGTCGTTCAGCAATAGAATAAAAATAAAATAAAACATTGGAATAAAATATAAAACTCTTCAATAAATATAATACCTAAGACGGATCGCGTGTGTTTTTTAGTGGCTGGGTCGTACTTATGGATGGATTTATCGAAGATGCTGACGAAGTAGAGCGCTTGCTCCTCGCTGTCCCAGTGCGGACCCTCGCCCAGTGTCACCGGCTCCGTGACCGCTGTAACTTGTGGTGCCATCTGCAATTAACACATAATTGTGTTTTAGAACAAGAATAAGAAACAGAAAATTAAGAAATACTAGCATTTTTAAATTATAAAGAAAAGATGTAAAGAACGATATTCGTTTGAAATATGTGAACCATCTTGCCGTTTTTTTTTCTAGAACTAGGGTGATATACGAGCATACATTCTACCTGCAGGAAAGTGGATGCTGTGGCTCAAAGACATTTACATTTATCCTCTATTAAGATTCAAAATGCAGTTGCGTTGTCACCCCTGAGGACTTAGATGGAATGCCTTGTAAAAATGGTCTCCGGTTCTCTACACTCACCATACGAAACAAAGCAGCATTAGACTACTATTTTACGCTGGTATTCTGCGAGAGCGTGGTCCTTCCCCGGTTAAGCAGAGCCATTCGTACTACAACCATAATACAGCTGCAGCGTGGCTCTGTCACGTTAAAAATTTTCTTTTCCTATTATGAAGCTCAGCATTTAAGTATGCAAGCACTATTAAGTATGCTTCATTGACGACTTGTTGTAAAAATGTAACTTCGATGAGGTGAAAAGATAAGTTTTTTATCAGAAACATCTTTCTTCTTTCTTTTTTTTATTATCATGTAAAAGCGTACCGCGGGTAACACATAGTTATATGATTTATCAAATAATTGATTTATACCCCTGAACTAATATATACGTACTACTTAGGTAAAACACTACGATGTACTTCAATGATTTAAACAACCTTTACCGTTTTAATCTATGCTTAAACAAATGTTGGTTGCAAATGATTTTAGATGCGCTTACTATGTGTGCGTGAGTGAGTGTTAATTGGTTATAAATATGCATACAATAAGATGAGCATGGTTTCGGCGTCATTTAAAATGTACGTACTGTTCTGTTTATCCTTTTCTCTTAGTCATAACTTTATTAATTTTTTATTTCTGATTTGGTCGCGTTCACGATATGTATTGGTTAAAATTAAGCGCAACGAATATGGCAAAAAAACAAGTTAATATTTATTAAATAATTTTAATTCTCTTCAAAATTTATGTAAGCAAGGAACGTAAAATACATTCTTTAAAACCGGAAAAGTATTATAAATGACCTATTACAGGGCACTGACCTGTCATTTCTGGAAAGGTTAAATTGTCGAATATATTTTTGAGTTGGCTTCCCAGTTTTTTGCCACAAAACTATTGATTTGATTTAATTTGATTATATTTAAAGGCAGTATTGTGGCTCTTTTTCATAGTATAATGATGACAGGCGAGCACACAGCCCACCTGATGTTAAATTTTTATAAGCTTTTAGGCCTGTTGGCTGCTTGGCTGTGATTTTTCGAAACAACGTATATAGTTATATATATTTTCCATTCGACATTCAAGCCGCAAACATGATATATAACAACGTTTGAGGTTTCATTATATTATTATACATAATATGTTATATAAGTGAATAGTGACGGCATATTATGTAAAATGTCCGTGCAATATAAATATGTGCGAGTCAAATCGGGCTTAATACTTCGTTATTATACCTCACTATTTATAAATATTTATATAATTATTAATACACGTAATCATCATCATCATCACTGAACACAGGCCTCCCCCAAGGTACGCCACAAAGCACGATCCTGAGTCACCTGTATCCATCGACTTCCTGCATGTCTTACCAGGTCGTCACTCCATCTGGTGGGGAGTCGCGCTACACTACGACTACCGGTACGAGGCTGCCACTCGAGAACCTTTTTTCCCCAACGGTTGTCTGTTCTTTGAGCTATATGTATAGCCGGTCCACTGCCACTTCAGCTTACTAATTCGTTGGGCTATGTCGGTCACTTTGGTTCTGCTGCGAATATCCTCATTTCTTACTTTATCACGCAGAGAAACTCCGAGCATAGCCCTCTCCATAGCTCACTGAGCGACTTTGAGTGTCCTCATACGGCCAGCAGTGAATAAAAAAATACATGTAATAAAACTTTTTAATTAAAATATCGAATAAAAAAAAACAAAATTGAAATCATATGCACCCTAATTTACGCTTAGTAAATTTAGTAATCAATGAATTTGTACCGTCCTTGACCTTGAACCGGCCGTTAGTTATAAAAGTTTGCTTTATGTTGTAATATCTAATGTCGCCTCTACACGTTGGCCAACACAGTGGCGAATGTAGTGGCGAATATATTGGCCGAGAGTTGGTGACGGCGTCCACACGTTGGAAGGTCGTTCAGTTTACTTCGGTTCGGGCCAATGTGCGGACGAATTTATTTTATTTTAGACGTCGGCTCCGTGGCGCAGTGGCTTGGCAATGAGTGGCTGTGCCAGGGGTCGCGGGTTTGAATCCCGCACGGAACAAGTATTTGTATATCCTACAAATAATTGTTTCGGGTCTGGATGTGTGTCCTTGTGCAATTTATGTTTGTAAGTAGCCTCCGCGACACAGGAGAAAATCCAAGTGTGGGGGGGGGGGGGGGTAACGTTTTTATAAAATAATTATAAAAGAATAGTGAATATTAATAGGGCTGTAAATAGATATACGATATACGATTAGCTTTATTTATTCTTTACATGCATCAGAAACTGGAGTAAATACCATTAATTAGAACTTAAGTTATTTTAAAGTTAAAGGAGTTATAATCGATTAGTCTATGTTTTAAAATTGGGTTTTGTTTTTAAAGTTTAGCAAAACATGTACTTGCTTTTTTATCAGACATTTGATGTATATAAAAAACACCTTATAATTTATTTGGTAATTTAATTATTTTTTGAGAAACACAAAAACAATAGCAATAAATATAATTAACACTGACTTAATAATTGGTACTAATTATAACTTAGAACATAAATGAAAAATTCATGACAAGGAAAGTGGCTCAGGACCATGCTTTGCGGCATTCTTTGGAGGAGGATGTTCAGTAGTGGACTTGTGAAGAGCTGTAATGATGATGATGATTCGCAAACTTGCACGATTAAATTATAAGAAATCGACGCTTTTTATATAGGATAGGGTGACAAACGAGCACACAGTTCACCTGATGGTAAGTGGTTGCTGTGGCCCACAGACATCTACATCTATCCTCGATTACGAGTCAAAATGCAGATGCGTTGTCACCCGTGAGGACTAAGATGAAATGCCTCGTTTCCTTTAAAAAGTGTCTCTGGTTCTCTACACTCACTATACGAAACACAGCATCATTAAGCTACTATTTTACATAGATATTCTGTGAGAGCGTGGTCCTTCCCCGGTCGAACCGACCCATTCGTGCTACAACTATTCTTCTAATATAACTGCATGGTTCTACCACGTATAAACGACGTGCTTCATTTTTTTTTTCATTTTAATATTGTTCTCGTAATAATCTGATTGTTAATAAATGTTCATTATTTTTTTTATAAATAGCTTATCGAATAAAACAAATGTTTAAAATAATTAACTCGCGCTAATTAAAGTAGTATGAATGTTTAAAGTTGAAATTGGCACTAAAAGGCTGGTAATTGGGTCATCCACCCTACAAAGCGTGAATATAAAATTTTAATCAGATGCGTGTAATCACTCTGGGAGCTGGTAGCAAATAAACTCGCAGCCCACGTGTGGACGCGGCGACCAAACTCTGCCAACAATCCTTTGATCTTTTGTAAAAAAACCGACACCACACGGATCTCGCGCCAACTTGCGGGCCATCGTTCCCAATGAAGCCCAAACACCCCGTCTACACGTTGGCCAATGCTATTGGCCACTACATTCGCCACTGTGTTGGCCAACGTGTAGAGGCGCCGTAAGACTAAAATAGATCAATTTGATGAAATTTCAGTAAAAAACTAGTTAAAAGAATCTATGCATATATACGTTTCTACTCCGTTCACCTGTTACACCCTATTTTTTCCTTGTTGTTAAAATATCACCTGGTGCCATCAATTTACTTGTTTAGGTGGACAAAGTTACGAAGGCCACCAATTGTAAATGAGCAGAATGTGAGAATGTATTGAACGCGTTGCTGCTGAGACAGGTTAATCTTGCCAGATATAAAAAATTTAAAACACCAAATGATATACTTGTGAAACAAATTAATAAAATTATCTTCTTTTACTGTAATTCATCTTAAATTACCTTTGTGGTTCGTGGTCTGTAAAATAGCTTTAGTGATGGTATATTTACGGGCTTATAATTATTTAATTACACTTATAACACAATAATAATTTGTCTTTTTCTTACAGGTGTTTCTGATCAATTTGCATACAAACTCAGCAATAAAGAGAAATACGCTGATGAATCCAGTTCTAAAATTTCTACCTCACGCAAAAAGAGGTAAAGAAAAACCGAGAAACTAGAAATTATTAATATTGACATTGGTTTATACGAAGAAAAATCGACGTATTTTATTCAATGAGATAAAAAATTCCAACTATACCGAAGTAATTATACGTGGTAGAGCTACGCTGCAGCTATATTATGGTTGTTGCACGAATGGGTCGACTCGACCGGGGAAGGACCGCACTCTCATAGAATACTAGCGTAAAATAGTTATAATGTTTCGTATGGTGAGTGTAGAGATCCGGAAACCCTTTCTTGCTGGAAATAATGGGTTATTATCAACCTTGTATTTATTTATATCATAATAACCCTTTTTATGCAGTTTTTGTTTAATTACATATTTAAACTTGGTAATAGAGAGACCTTGTATATTTTCTGGGACTTTGTTATAATAGCGTATACATTGCCCCAAGAATGAATTACTGACTCTGTGGAGTCGAGAAACTGTAGCTTTTTTATTCTTAATCAAGGATAAATGTAGATGTCTATGGGCTACAGCATTCAATTACCACCAGGTGGACTGTGTGCTCGTTTGTCAGAATTATTTTATAAAAAATTACTGAGCACGTAATTAAAGTATTATAAAGGAAGATATTGATTTGAAAGCAGAACGTGAAACTCTTCTAAAATTGCTTCACAAAATAGGATTTCGTTATCTAAAACGAAAGCAAATAAAAAAGTGTTGTGTAAACGTAACGACGT